TCCCATAAGAATGGTTATCGTATGAGTGGTAAGCGTACGGTACTGACTTACAGCACGTGCACGGTACGACATGCCGTAACATTGAAATGGCTTCCTATTGTCTTCCAGTAATTCATCCAATCACAACGAGTAGTTACGGCTACATCACATGACCGCATCCCAGCATAATGATTGGATGATAAGTCCTACTTAACTTTCCTTTCTTATCATTCTTTCTTTCTTTACTCAGAATCCTGAGTTGGTTCGTAACATTTGTCGTTGGGTTCGTGCTGCTGTCAAGATCCCATTCTTCGCCAAACTGACTCCAAATGTCACTGATATAATAGCCATAGCAAGGGCAGCAAAAGAGGGTGAGTCATACAGCCTTTACTCAGACTGCATTTACACGGTACCGGACGAATATAAACCGGTCAAAAAGTTGTACGTTTAGGGGTTTCGTTCACACGGGACTGAGCTATCCCAACGAAAATTCGTACGCCTAGCCGTGCAAATTTGGATCCGGTTCCGTGTAAAAAGAACGTAAAGAGACCGTTCCCGGCAAACGGTATGTGCAGGTCAAATTTTTGACCCGCTAAAAATTCGCACGTTACCATGTAAACGCAGCCTGAATCTCTCCGTCTGTAGAGTGAAAGAATTACTTGATTGAAAATCATGCCCTCGGAGCTAGAGGTCCATGGTTCGATCCTTAGGATCTTAACGTCTTTTTGGACTCTTTTCTAATTCGCGTAGCTTCAGCTTTGAATACTTTGAAGATAAAGAACAAATGGAGAGAGGAGAGTTTTGTCTGTCTGTCCTTAGTCTCAACTTGACCCCTTACACATTGTTTCAGGTAAAGCTGATGGAGTAACAGCTACCAACACAGTATCAGCCCTGATGGGTCTCAAGAATGACGCCGCTGCATGGCCAAATGTCGGCCGAGAACATAAGACCACATATGGTGGAATGTCCGGTAACGCCATCCGTCCCATCGCACTACGTGCCGTGTCTGCCATTGCTAATGCTCTTCCTGGATTCCCTATCCTGGCAACTGGTGGTATTGACAGCGCTGATGCTGCGTTGCAGTTCATTCACTGTGGTGCCAGTGTAGTCCAGGTAGGTAGGGTAAGGTGTGGTGAGCTGGAGTTTAATTTACCAGTGCAGTCCAGGTAGGCCGTAAGGGGATCGGAGGGTTGGAGTCTTCCTGGATGTGGTGCCAGTGTAGTCCAGGTAGGTAGGCAGGGCTGCCTAGACTTCCTTTAGTTTTTCAGTGCAATCCAGTTAGGCTAGGAGTGCAGGTTTAGCGTCTTCCTGGACTTCTTTCACTGTGGTGCCACATCGCAGTCTACGTAGGTTAGCCACAAGGCGAGAGGAGCTAGGGAGGGATTGAGATTTCCTGGATTCTTCATCGTGGTGCAAGCGCATTCCAGGTTTACGCTAAACACTTTGGGAGGGCTATTCTTTCTGGATTTCATCCACTGTGGTCATGGTGCCAACCAGATAGGTTAGACTCTAAAGAAAGACAGACTTCCTGGACTTTCTTCACTGTGGTCCGAGTACATATTTACGTCCTCAGTGGTTCTCTTTTGGCTTTAGGTGTGTAGCGCTGTACAGAACCAAGATTTTACTGTAGTGGACGACTACATCTTGGGCCTCAAGTGTCTCTTATACATGAAGTCAGTGGAAGAGTTTGGTGAGTGGAATGGACAGTCTCCACCAACACCAAGACACCAGCTGGGGAAACCACTACCGAGGGTTGCAGACGTTATTGGAAAGGTAAACTGGTCTCATTGTATTTTAGTATAAATACACAGGTGATAATTGAAAATCTCACGCGCTGATTGGTCGAGAAAGTCAGATTATCACACGATAATCACGTCCAACGATTATCCAAAATGGCGGCCAGCCGCTTTGTTGCTGTTCCTAATGTTAAATGTGTTTCTCATCTTTTTTTTTTTTTTTTTT